AGAATCAGAGTACACACAAACCCAATCATCCCCCTCACTCGCTGAAGCACTTTACTTCGCATGGAGTGACAGTTAAGGACACACCAGCAGTAGCTGGCTGCATGGAATTTCCCTGCCAACCCTGCAAAGAGACACAACAACTCTGCGGAGTCAAAGTGGCAGCCCCTCGGTGTTGCCCGCAGTTCACATGGCAGGAAGAATTTCACGCACACATGGTTCCGGATCCCGCGCTGCTTGAGTGCACATCAACAGAAAGTAAGAAAGTACGTGCGCACAAGACGGCATTTAAATACGTGAAAAAGTCGGCCTGATTTCTCCGATGGCGTTGGCGAGCAATCCCACACAATCCAATCAAAGTGGCACGCCGGACAGAATGGCGTCCGTCAATCAATAAAAAAATGCGACACTGAAAAGGAGCAGAGAAGAGTTGGCGCATGCGATTGCCAGTGACAACTGTGAGCAAACCCGCCAGCACCAACTGAGGTGCCGAGGAGCACTTTTGTGTAGAACTGGACGTCAGGCAGAGAGGACAAATAAAACAAAAGGGCAGCAAACCCTCTCGTTCAATGTCTCCTGACCGCGACACCAGAATCAAAATACAATGGACGATAAGAGCGGCAACGCCTTCTCCAAAACATCTTGTCAAGAAGCCGCAGGACCTCAGGAAGGGAAGAAGGCAACGGCGGCAGCCACAGCGGGGGAGGCAATAAAACGGCTGGCAGGCACCTTCACGTCGACGCGCACACCACATCCGAGTGGGCTGGGAGCACAGATCGAACCGCTCGGAAACACACGCATCAAATACGCAAAACAAAGTCGCGTTGAATCGACAGGAACTCCCCGACCAAAACAAATTTAAAAGGTAGCGTTTTTCAAGGGAGGATCCGCTTTTCCGACGACGGCACGGACGCCTCGCAGGAATTTCTTGCAAATCTCCCTTCGCAGGTCCGCAAGAAAAACGCAGCGGAATAAAAAGAGAGCGCAACGACACAAAAAAAAATAATCCTCCTAACCGACCAGGTGGCAGGCTGCCCTCGCGCAAGTGGACAAAACACAACTTCACTCCGGTCTTGTGGTGGTGGTCGTCTCGCAACATTTTTTTCCTTCTCGTCGCAGTGCACATCCCCCTCCCACAAAGCATTTGTTCGGGCCATGTTCCTGCGGCCAAACATCGCGCTGCTGGATCCCGCGGCACAGTCCTCGGCACAGAAGTAAGGGGAGGAAGAGGGACCGCAAAAGGTGCGAGCAAATCCGAATTCGGTGGTGGTCGCTGCAGTGAAGATTAACGTACCACGCGGCGTCCCTTTTCTAGGTCCGGTCCTCACCGTGCCATGCTCTCAGCGTAAGGTGCGCCGGCCGCTCCGAACATCCACACGTGCTTGCGTCTCACCGTCGCTCCCAGCCCCGTTCGTTGGCTGCATCAGGGATGCCGCCATCCGGAGACGGGCATAAGGACGTTGCATCCAACAAAACCTTCAGAGGCACCCGCTGGGCCAACGACAACCGTCACTGCGGGATGTGTGGCCCTTCCGCCGCTCACCTCAAATCGCACTTCTACGCCTCCTCGAGCAGCAGCAGCGGCATAAATACACTGGTCCACTAGAGGCCGTCACCAGCCATTGCAGGAAGACCACTGTGCCCCAGTGCTATGAAACCCGAATTGCATTGACGGGCCACTTCGGAAAATCCTGTCGCATCCTCCCCAATTATGCGGAAACACATCCGTCGTGCATGTGTCCACCGCAGCCAAATGAATCTGGTCCGAATACCCTCCAAATCAAATTCCCCTTTCCTTAAGCCATTCCTTCATTCCATACGCCCTAACCCTCATCCGAACGTGCTCACTCACACAAGCCGCCATCGACAGATGGTGGCCGCCCAACGCTCCAGAAAGGCATGCCCAGCACGCACGCGCACAAAAAATGACATGCGCAAACGCACGGCACAACGGCAGAGAAGCGCAAACCGAAAGGATGCGGCCGTCCACAGCAGTCGCAGCCCACCGCGCGCATCACACCCGCTGGAAGAGTGACTCGCGGTGCGCGCTCCCTCTCTCCTCCTTCCCTTCATGCCCACCGAGGAAGCAGCCGCCACCCGCAACCGCCAGCACACGCTACAAAAGAAGCATCAGAATCCACTGCAATGTGCATTTTGTGCGTGCATGTGGTTGTGTGTGCCTGCAGAAGCACGAGGCAAAGAAGTAAAAGCAGGAGCAGAGCATGTGAAGGGACGCACAAACAAAAATGTACAGCAGAAGTGCATGGCAGAAATAAAGGAGAAAAAGACTGCTCAAGCTCATGATATTGCACTGCAGACAAAGCAGCGGCAATTCATAAAAAAATTTATTAAAATTTTAAAAAATTCATCTTCACCCTTCCACCCCTCACACTTTGGAAAAAAAAAAAATGAAAAAAAGTCGTCCTCTATTACGGCCACACCCAAATAAAAAAAAAAAAAAAAAGAAAAACCACAAACACAAAAAAAGAACCTAACTACCATGTTGCTCCAGAAATTGTCTGCATATTTTGTCCGAAAATAAAATTTAAAGGGGTATTTAAATGTCTTTCAACCGTCTGACCCTCCATGTGTCCGCACATCGTTTATATTTCATGGGGTCATCTGCGTGTTGGTGCTCCCCTCAGCCCTCTCATCGGCGCGTGAGTGCGGCCCGCAGAGCACAGTCACTCGTATGTTTGTGAAAGATGAGAGAAGCACGCAGACATGACGGCAGTCGCGTCTCTCCACCGGGGGAGTGAGCGCAGCAAAAAAAAGAAAAATCATCAGGGGGAGAAAAATGCTCACGAGGCCAACCCCGAAGGGTGTGACGCACGAGAAGTGAACACGCAAAGCAAAACAAATCCATAAAGAAAAACACGGCGGCAGGGTGTGGCTGTGTGTGTGGCGCTGCGGGTGTCTGTCCGCCCTGACCGCAAAAAAGAAAACAAGAGGGAAAGAAATGTGTGCTCCGCCCCACCGGCCCTCGCCGCACGCCCACACGTCACGGCTCCCTCAGCGCGCCGTTCGTCGCGGCCCCTCCTCATGCGTGCAGCAGGCGAGGCGCACAGGGCCGTCGTCATGAGCGTGTCGGTGGGTGTGCGAGTGGAGCAGTTGGACGAGAAACACACGGCACCCCTCGCAGGAAGAGTGCAGCAATAAACAATTGAAAAGAGGGAAAAGTAAAAAAATCACTTCCATAGTGATTGTCCTAAAGCAACAAGCAAAAGAAGGGAAGTGATTTGCAAAAAAGAAAACAAAAACAAGGAAAGCAAAAAGAAAAAAAAAGAAAAAAAATGGAATTAACAAAACTCATTGAGTAGTGCTGGGATGCCGCTCCTTTTTTGCTCCACAGAATTTCGCAATTTTTCTCTCCCCAATTCATTCAACAGAGAGCCGCAATGCCCCACAGCCCCAGAAGCAGCAGCAACAACACCCGAGACACATACCCATGCACGGTGCTGTCACCAATTAGATACATGGCCGCCAACTCGCCCAAATGCCCCTTCTCAAGCAAAATGTCAGTGTCCGAGGGGGTTGTTGCGTTGGACTCCGACGGGATCTTCTTGGTTTCCCCAGGCGTGGTGCTTGTGTTGCCCGGTGCGGTGTCGACCGTCTGTGGCACCTCCTTGCTGTCCTCAACAGAAAATTCAGCCCCCTCAGTCCAAGAGATGTTGTCGGTGTCCTCCGCGGATCTCGGTTCGGCGTCACTCTTTGAAGGAGTGAGGCTGCTGTCTGAGCTCATTGTTCTCTCGGAATTTCCGTCCCCCGCCTCGAGGCTGAGGCTTTCCTCCGCGCCAGTGGTTCCGGTTCCAGTGGACCGCACGTCGTCATTTTCAGCGGAAGGCTCAGTGCTTTGTTGCACTTGGTGCTCACCGTCAGCTGGTGCAGTGGCAGTGTCCATACTCAATGACGCAGTCACTGGAGACACTGATCCGCCACTCCTGCCATCCGCCTCTTCCTCCTCCACTGGTAGTTGTGTATCATTACTTTCAGAGGATCCTTCAACATCAGCGACCTCCGTTAATACCTCTGACTGTGGGTATTGTGGCTGCACATCTGAATCCCGTTGCATCGATTCCTTCGCTTCATGCGGCGTGGTTTGCGGAGACGTTTCGCCTTCGGAAAGCTGGACATTGTCCTCTTGACGAGAGTTCCCTGCGCTCTCCGCTGCGATGGCGGGTTCGGAAACAGAGGATCCCCCGGCAACCGTGGAAGAAGACGCTACAGGCACCAGATCATGGACGATTTCTTTCTCTTGTTCATCAAGATCATCCTCATTCAATTTCGCATAGCTGGCGGTGATTTCTTCACTCTTTGACTCGGAAGCAACCAAAGCGCCCGTGTTGGCCGCCTGTTCTGTGGGTTGTTTCTCAGCACCAAGTGATGGAATATTGACTTTGCTGGCGTGGAGTTTGTGCAGATCATCTCCAAACAGTTTCTCGTTGTACAGCATGACGTTGGTCACAGTCACGTGGCCGCCCGTTGCACTTTGGTGCTTACTGTCCCCACCGATGT